GGAATTTTCTGTAGAAATCTCTGAAATTCATTTGATCTAGCACTTCAATTAGAGTCTGTATTGCCTTGTTAATTTAATTTTTTTGTCTAGAAGATCTATTCAGTGATGTCAGTGGGGTATAGAAGTCCCCTGCTATGATTGTATTGCTGTTGATTTCTGCTTTGAAGTCCTCCAAAAGATTTTTAATATATGTTGGTGCTCCTATATTGGTTGCATATATGTTTATCAAGGTTATATCTTCCTGTTGGATAGATTCTTTCAATATTAAGTAGTGGCCTTCTTTGTCTCCAGGTATGGCCTTCATTTTGAAATCTAATTTATCAGATCTGAGTATTGCTACCCCAGCTTTTTTTTTTGCTTTCCATTTCCTTGAAAGATTTTTTTCTATCCCTTCACTTTCAACCTATGTGAGTCTTTTGTTGTGAGCTGGGTCTCTTGTAAACAACATATATGTGAGTCATGCTTTCTTAGCCAGTCAGCTACTCTGTGTCTTTTTATCAGTGCATTCAAACTATTTACATTTAAGGTGATAATTGATATGTACTCACTTTTTGCCATTTTTGTTTAGTGTGGTTATATTTTTCTTCCTATTTCTTCTAATAATTATAGCAGTCCTTTTAGCATATCTTTCAGTGCTAGTTTGGTGCTAATATATTCCCATACCTTTTTTTTTTTTTTTTTTTTTTTGTCTGGGAAGCTCTTTATTTGACCTTCTATTTTGAATGATAGCCTTGCTGGATAGAGTAGTCTTGGATTCAGATTCTTGTTTTTCATGACTTTGATTACCTCATGGCACTCCCTTCTGGCCTGTAGTATTTCTGTTGAGAAGTCAGCTGAGAGCCTGATGAGGTTTCCTTTGTAGGCAACCTGTTGTTTATGTCTTGCTGCCTTTAGAATTCTGTTTGTCTTTAATTTTTGGCATTTTGATTACTATGTGTCTTGGCGTGGGCCTGTTTGGGTTCTTCTTACTTGCGGCTCTCTGTGCTTCTTGAACTTGAATGCCTTTTTCTTTCACCAAGTTAGAAAAGATTTTGCTCACAATTTCTTCAAATATATTCTCTAACCCTTGCCCATTTTCTTCTTCTTTGGGGACTCCTATGATGCAAATGTTATTACATTTATAGTTGTCCCACAGTTCTCTTAAGCTGTCTTCCTGTTTTCTTTTTTTTTTTTTTTCCATTTGGTTTCCTGACTGTTTGAGGTTTTTTACCTTGTCTGAACGGTCCTCAGCTTCCTCTACTCTGCTGCTTAGTTCTTCCAAAGTGTTCTTTATTTCTGCTATGTCATTCTTCATTTCCACTCGGTTGGTTTTCAATGCTTCTATATCATTACTCATGGTGCTGTTCTCCTTACTCATTCTATCAAGCTTCCTCAAGATCATGGCTCTGAACTCTACCTTTGATAATTTGCTTAACTGCATTTTATTGATTTCATCTTCAATATAGTTCTCTTGTTCTTTCATTCGGGATTTGTTTCTTTGTTTCACCATTTTGGCTATCTCGATGGGTTTTGGAGCCTGCCCAATTTTCTCTGTGGGTGTTGGTATTCTGCTGTTTGTGGCTCCCTCTACTGGATTTGGATGAGCCCGAGTGGGCCCACGTTAAATACCACTGTAAAGTCTTACTTTCCTGGTTAGATCTGCAAGCCCAGGAAAGGTTCCGTTATCCTCTAGCTTTGTCCTGGTGGCTAGTAGTCTCAGTTACTCAAGGCTTTGGAATGTAGCTAGCCCTGGTGTTCTGCATAAGAGGATTTCTAGAGGGTGGGATAGAGGCTGGTTGTTAATGAGCCTCAATTTGCATTTCTTTGCCTCACCTGGGAAAGCTGAATCTCTGAGGCAGGTGGGGGCTCCTACTTTTTTCCACAGCTCGGGGAAGGGGCACACTGGCCATCGTCCTTTGTGGCCACAACTCAGCAAAAGCTCTGAGTGCCCTGCAAATCCCGGGTGTTTCCACAGAGTTCCAACCCAGTCTGGCCTCCCTCTGTGGTAGCCCCCAGGTCCATTGTTGTGGTTATTTTAGTGCTCTGTGCCGGCTCTCTGCACTGTGGAGCAGGCTTGGTCTTTATTCCCCAAGGGCACTGTTTACAGCTAAGACTGCTGCTGTCCAAGGGCTCCCAGTCCACCACCCTCTCATGCCTCTGCAGATCCTACCAGTGTTCCTGGTTGTATGGTCCTGTCCTGCTGCTTTACTGTTGCTTTTTTTCTGAGGATTTGTCTTCATTTTAGTTGTAATTCCCATTTGGTCCTCAGAGATCATCTGTGTAGCTTCTATTCACTCCGCCTCCATTTTCACATCCTCTACACCTATCTTGTGGGCAGCTGGGTCACACAGACCTTTCTGGTGCCCCTGCACCCTGCAGGTCCCATGGGTAGCTGGATTGCACAGTCCCTTTGGGGACCCGGCTCTATGCCTATGTTATGGGCTGCTGGGTCGCACAGGCCTCTCTGGTGCCCCTGCACCCTGCAGTTCCTGTGGGCAGGCAGCTGGATGGCACCAGTCTCTCGGGATCTGGCTTCCCACTACTTGTATGGGCTACTGGACAGCACAGGCCTCTGTGGAGCCCCAGGTCCTGCCACTGGTGGCTGGGGAGTGCTACTGCCCCATGGGGCTCAACTCCTGCTCAGGTTTTGCTGTAGTTTTTGAGGATGGGTCTCAGATGCTGGTCTCTACTTCTGTTGCCTGGGGATGGATGTTTGCTCCAATGTTTTTCTAATCTTCCCCAAACCAGTGAAAGTCCCCCTGTCTTTAGTAGTAATTGATGTACTACAAAACCAGTACTGATCTTAGGTCCAAAGGTACTGGTTTTATACATACTTGTTGTGTGTGTCATATGTTCAGGTTTCTGAAATGCTGATGATACCATGTTCTTGGTTGCAGTTGTGGTTAAAGGACTAGCAAGGTGCTTGGAGTTGGAGATTGGCCAAGAGGCTATTACCTGGGGGGACAGTGTTTCTTTCGCAAAGGGTACTTCTGGTAAAGAGACACCTTGCCAGAGAGTTGTGTAGTTAGCAGTAACCAGGCTTGTCCAAGTGACTGGGAAAGAGGTAGTTATTGATCCACCAATGGGTGCAATCCCAGGGTATCCTACGGTGGTCTTCATTGGTTGAGTGTTATTCATGGTTTTGACTTCCTCCTTGGGATTGGTCATAAAAAGATGGTAAAGCTAGGAGAGGTGGCTTTGGCTTCTTTGACAGAATCTGGGGCCTCAGTGGGAGTCACTGTTTTTGAAGCATCCTTAAGGGTTTCTTCTTCTGTCCCAGTGTAGGTCTCTAATGTGGATTCCAAGTCTGAGGTCTTGCTATAAATAGAGAAGCTCCTAGGCCTTGAACCTTCTGTCCAATCAAGTGTTCTAAGTACGATGGTGTCAGCATGGGTGGTTTCCACTGTGCCTATGTCCCTAGGGAAAGCACTGGGGGACAAACCACTCTCCTCTGTCTGCGCTGCCTTTATAAAGGGAAATGAAGAAGGCAAAATAATTATAGCTGTTTTAGGTTCTGGATTTTATTCATAGCAGTGGAAGGAAGAACATGTGAACTGAAATCTATCCCTGTAGTGGACACAAGTTCCTCTGAGATTGTGCTTTTGGTTATCACATGGGTTGGCTCAAAGTCAGTTCCAGGAACATGAGCACCTAGAATTATGGAGGATGATGTCAGAAGAAAATTGGTGCTCATCCTGGTCCCGTCAATGGAGCTAGTTCCAGGAGAGGAGATATTAATCCCAGAAGCATGAGTTAGGGGTATGTTGGATCTTTCTTCAGAAGCTATGGTTGTTCTAGGCATTAACTCTGAGAGGGCAGAGGAGTATGCCTCAAATGAATAACTGGTCCCTTCTGAAGCATTTGAACCAGGGGTAATATCAACGGAGGAAGTAAAATTGTGGTTACTTTCTGCACCCATAGTCATGTCAGAGAATGACTCAATTGGATTTGTGGCTCTGTATAATAGGAAGACATTGTCTGGGATGTTCGCTTCTTCTACGCCATGTAGCTGTGGATGTTGTGAGAGCATTGGATTGAAGGGATGGGGGAGATCCAGTGGTATGAGATGTAATAGGAATTGCTTTTTTTTCCCCCAGTGGCTCTCATCCCTTAGATACTAGTGGGCTCCCTGAAGCCTTGGGCAGTGAATATGTCCATGGTGGGATCACCTGGTTGTTCAGAAAATGTGAGGACTACAGTTCCTGCTTGTCTATGAATGCAGTTCCTGCTTCCTCTGAAAAAATCGAGTCTGCAAGGTGCTCCCACCTAACCCTCCATATTCTAAAAAATGTACTCATGATTGTAGGAAGTATTATTGGTTACGGTGAGGATTCTATTTTTATCAGATTGATTTCTGAATTTGTTCTAACAGAACATTTAAATGCCAATTCGGACAAAAATGGGAGGAGGTGCTGCCCCCCACTTCTCTATGTCCACTGCTCCTTCTCCATACCAGCCTTATTCACTGAGTGTCCACAGTGCACCTCCCCCATCTAAAACCTTGGCCACTGAATATTATTTTTAAAGGATCCGAGTATAATTTAATCTCCCCCCCTACCCCCGCCATGTTTGAGACTCCTGTTTGGCCTTTAAAGAGAAGTTCAGTGCAGAAAAAATTAGATTATAAAAATATAGGTCAGTCTCTAGGCCTCCATCACTTTCTCCAGAGAAGAGAGAACAGTTTCGCTTTTGGGAAAACCTCCAGGGCATGGAGCTTACTTTCTTATGGCATCACATCCTCCAAGATGGTGACTCTCCCATTTAGGATGATTCCGAAAACCACCAATCATTCTTAATCAATTCTTATTATATTAGTTTCTGACCTCTTCCAGTAAGAACTAACTACTAATAAAAACCTCCTGAATCCAAAATGGTCAATGTTTTTAGGAGAAAGCCAGGTGACACCAAATTCTCAGACTATTGTTAGCAAAAATCAACAAAACAAAACAAAGCAAACCAATTTATCACAGAATGAACAATGAGGTTCCCAGAGAAACAAACTGAACTATCAGTCATCATACCTGCAGAATAAGCTGCTGTCATAGGTGTTGAAGGGTCACTTTTCAGCAACAAGGAACTTTCATGCACAGGGGTGTTAGTAGTGGACACCACAGTCCCAGCAGTGCCTGTAGGAGAGACAGAGGATTGGATGAATATTGGTAAATTTAGAAGGAAGGCACATGTGAAAAATCAATATGTACACACTTTGGAAACAAAAAGACATTTGTTTACAAGGAAGTGTTATTCAAGGACTAGAAACAGGAGGACATGTTTTGGGTGATTTGAACTCTAATTTGCATAGGAATTGTTCCATAAACAAACAAGGCAGAATAAAGTATTAACAGGCAGTAACTTATCCTTTTATCTCTTTAGTTCCAGCATCAACAGAAGCCACACAGTGTCTAGAGGTCATGGACATCAAAGTGCTGGTCTGTTCCATGGAGAACAGGCTAATCAAAGATGTGCATGAGTAAGCCAGGTAGCTGCCCAGGTGACTTCATATCAGATACTTTAATAGGACGAGGTGAGGTGCAAATCCTGGATACTACCAGGAAAAACTGTCAGATCCTGCTGGTAGGCTGATTGTTTTATAAATAAGACAACTAAGGTGACGTGGTCAGTCATCTCAGGGAGAAGAGACAGACACAGAAGCCACACACTTCTATTTCCACCATTCTTATGAGAAAGATCTTCAACTGGGGATACCTAGGAAAGCTGAGGGACCCATATTCATGACAGGTTGCTTCTCATCTGGGTAAGAAGGTGACACTGAGAAGAAGTTTCAACCCCTAAACATAAAACTGTGGTGTTCTGCCATGTGCAGTAATCCCACTTCTGGGTATGTGCCCTAAAGATTGGAAAGTATGGACTCAAATGGATAGTTGTATACTAATGTTCATAGCAGCATAGTCCACAATAGACAAAAGCCAGAGAAAACTCAACTGTCCATCTATGTGTGAATAAACAAAATGGGGTGTATACCTAAAATGTTACATTATTCAGCCTTTAAAAAATAAAATTCTGGCCACATGGATGTATCTTACAAACACTATGCAAAGCAAAATAAGCCAGACACACAAAGGGCAAATATTGTGTGATATTGCTTATATGAGGTACCCAGAATAGTCAAATTCATAGACACAGAAAGAATGGTGACTCCACGTGCTGAGGGAGGGGAGATGAGGAGTTACTGTTAAACTGCTACAGAGTTTCCGTTTGGGATGATGAAAAATTCTTAAGATGGGTAGTGGTGATGATTGTATAACCAAGTTAATGTGCTTATAGCCACTGAATTGTATATTTAAATATGGTTAAAATTGTAAATTTCATGTTAGGTATATTTACCACAATAAACACTTTTTTTTAAAATGTGATATTCGTCAGAAAAGGCTGCAGAGTATGAAATGGGTGAGTGATCCCACAATTATAAATACGAGCAGGTGAGTTCTATAGTGAACTAGGAAACCACTCAGGGGGCGCTGGTGGCCACCCTGGCCAGCTGGATATTCCCCTGCAGCCAGAGTCCTGGAGCAAAACAAGTAAGAAACCTTATGGATAAAAAGAGAAAGATTCCTGACCATCTTCAGACCCACCAAAGAAAAACAAACCCATTTCCAAGAAGACAGAAACCGCAGGTCCTTCCTTATGAATGAAGGAACAAGGATAAGCTGACGAGATCGGGGGCATAGGTACTCCCTAACCCAGAAGCCACAGAGTGTCTGTTTGCTGGGACCTCTAACAGTGGAGAGGCAGGTGTCCAGGGAGGCTCTCTCTCGGACTCAGAAGAGGTCAATGTTCCTAATGGGGTTTTGGCCAGGCCCGGGTCCACTCCTAGGCTAGTGTGCTCTGCCCCAGGCTTCCTGAGAAGGGAATAGTCTCAGAGGTGCGGCCTGTCTGTGCTCAAATGTTGGTAAATGCTTCTGAAGGGATCCAGGTTGGGGTTGTGGATCCTAGGAAAGAGGCCCTAGGCCCTGCTCGGGTGGATCAAAAGGAGCAGGACTGCTGCTAATGGTGGGGGATGTGTGAATGGGGGAGTTTATTTCCTCTTCAGCAGACAAACTGGACCATGAGGTGGCAGAGCTTGTTCCTGCATCCTCCTAAATACCCATGGAGGATGTGGTCCCTGGGAGAGATCTCCTGCCTAGCAGTCCAGAGGCCAAAGAGAAAGGTGACACCTTCTCAGTTGACACTTCCCTAACCTTAGGGAAGAATGAGGTAGAGCCTATGGTTTCTCCTATAGTGGGAAAAGTGACTGGTGGAGTAGTCATCTCACGGAACACAGAGGAGGCTGAAGAAGAGGACCCTGGCCCAACCCTCCCTTCGGTCACTGACGGTTCTGACCAGGGGCCAGTGGGCCTTCCGAGTGGCTGCCTCAGAGGAAGCTGGGGCCCCAGCAGTGCCGGGGGCCAAAGGCAGAGATGAATTCCATTTGTCAGCTAAGCTTATTCCCGGACTGACTGTGGTTTTTCCATGGTCAGATGTCTGAGTGACCCCTAAGTTGGTTTCCACAGAGCCAACATTGGCAGCAAGACTCGGAACCTCCGTAGACCACTCTAGAGATGAGCTTGTCTTGTCTTGAGACATGAAGCTGACTGACGTTGTTGCCTCTGTTGGTGGGGGTCCTTTCCCAGATGCTGGGGGCCGAGTGCCATGTGGAAGTACTGCTGGAGATGAAGGGGTAGAGAGAGGGAGTGGAGATGGGCTCTCCTTGGCTTCCCAGCTGGGCAGGTCTGAAAGTCTAGATTCAGGCACATTGGTGCTGCTTCCTGTCCCTGAGGTCGTGGCAACCATGGTTGTAGCATCTGGTGATGAATAAATCAATGAGCTCGATGGACTGGGTTTGGGGCTCATGGTGGGTTCTTGGGAAGCTGTGGCTGGAAGAGGAATTAAGTCTCCAATTGCACCCCAAAATCTGAATTATTCTAGGTGCTGGCCCAAGGTGGTTGAATTTGTATTTGGAGAGCGTTGGTATCTACTCCTGGATTTGGAAGTTTATGAGGAGGTATGGACACAGATGAAAAAGTACCAAATGTTGTCTTGGATGCACTTGGACTTAAGACATTAAGATCAGCTGAGACAATTTCCTCGGTGGAGCTGGTACTCTGCCATGTTCCCTTGGGGGGAGATGCAGTGAGGACCCTCAGCCAAGAAGTGACTGTGCTGTGCCCACTGGTAGTGAGGGCCAAGCATTCACCTGGGACATCAGAGGTCACCTCCGATGTGCTGCTTCCAGTGGTAGAGGAAGTGGAGGCTTCTGTAGAGATTGGTCCAAGGGTTGACAGTGTCCCAATGTCAGGAGATTTTTCTGTCATATTTGTGTCATGGGATCGAATGGAGTATCCAGCTGTGTCTGTGCTTGTCCATGCTGCTATGCCCGGGCTAGCAGGACAGGGTGTCCTTGGGACACTCAAACCTCCAGTGTGAGTCGCTGAGCTGGTGGACACTGTTCTTGGATAGCTGTCTGTGGTTCTGAGCTCCTTCACTGTATGGGGCAGAAAGAGGTGAGCTGAACGTGTAACCCTGGGATCTCTAGTGGTGCTATACATGGTGGAGGCCCCGGTGCCACTGGTGCCCATCTCTCCAGAAACGGACATCTCTGGCTGGGACCCAGAAGAGTAAAATCTTCATTTGTCTCCATTCTCACTACTGACACAGGAGCAGTGGTCTCCGCTGAGGGGAACATGAGGGCTGTGGGAGACCCAGCTGGAACTGGTGAAGCTGGCGTTGTTGGAACTGTCTGAACTGCTGCGACTGGTGTGCGCTCTGAGGCTGACGCTGGACGTGCCTGCTGACTCGGGGGAGGTGCTGAGGACAGACTCTCCTTCCTGACAGCTCTGTGGACGGTGCCGGAGACAGAGTACCCAGGGGGACAGCGGGGTTACCCCCAAGTAGGCACTTGTCTGGATGTTAGTTAGTGACAAAGAAGTTAAGGAAGGTAGGTTGGGTATGTTCCCTTTACTAGTTTCGTCTGTTTCCATTATCGCGCTTGTGGTGACCCCCTGGGTTGAGCTGTGGTGGACACTGTGGCTTCGGCAGCAGGAGCAGGAGATGAGGACAGAATGCTGAACGGGTGGCTTGTAGCAGAGCCAGGCTCAGGAGAGCGGTGAACCGCAAACATCTCTGAAGTCAGAGGCTGAGTCCCACCCCTGGAAACTGTAATCCCTCCAAGGGCCAGATGATAGGGGGCATCAGACAATGTGCCAACGCACTGGCTTTTCCCATCTGGAGTGCTTGAGCAGCACCCATGAACTGAGATGGAGATGTAGAGGGGGGGCATTTTTACTGGCCAAAGTGGAATCTGTCGATGTCACCGATGGAGAGGTGGTTCCAATAGGCGGGTGGGCTGTTCCCAATCTTCTTTCACTGTAATAGCCCTTTGTGGTTGTTATATTTGTGGAAACTGGAGAAGGAACAGCGGCTGGGACATCTGTGGCCTCTGTTGTGAGCGTGGCTGTTGCTGGGTCCCGAGAGGAGTTCTTTGCATGGAGCTGGCTGTTGGGGAAGTGAACCTAGTGACCTCCCCGTAGCAGAAAGAGGGGCAGGGGCTGAACAGTGGTTGGTGCTAAAGGGAACCCTGTCTCAGATTTGGGACCAGTCTCTGGCCAAGCTGTGTTTCCAGGTGCCGTGGAATAATTAAACAGGTCTGTGCTAGTCTGTGACATGGCTGCCGCAGAAGTAAAAGCCGAGGTCCTAGAGGGGCGAGATGTTTCACAAAGAGCTGTGCTGGCTGAGTTTGCAATGGAGACATTGCTTCTGCCTCTGAGTGGGTGGGATGCAGAAGATAGAGATGAAAGGGACGGCCGGTTATCCATGGTGGGGAAGGCTTGGGTTGGGGCAGAGGTGACGGCCAAGGCGGTCTTGACTCTGGAAGCAGATGTCTCAAGTTGAGAAACAGATGGATTCAAAGTTCCCCTTGATTCTTCTCCAGGAATAAGTAGATAGGTGCTGGTCTGTACTGAGGTGAAGGGGACAGGTGAAGGAAATGTATTCATTCTGGGAAAATTAGCAGGGCTGAGGGTCCTAGGATCATCTGACCATTTAGAAGCCAAAGTCCTAGCTGTGGGGACGCTGGGGGTGTCTGCGGTTTCAGAGGCAGTGCGGAGCGTGTGGACAGGCTGCTGTCCCTTCCTCTGATGCAGGTGGATGGGCCAGGGGAGCTGCGGTGCTTCCGACTCTTGCTGCTGCAGTGCTGTGTGTCATGGACAAAGGGACAGCTGAGTTGGGCTCAGTGCTCTCTGTGGTCTCAGGGGTCTCTGTGGTCATGGAGGAGGTGACTCTCTGGACCAAGATGGTACAGGACCCTGACACTTTATCACCACGAGCAGACGCAGATGACCATAGAGGAATGCTGATGCTTATCCTCATGTCTTCGGCAAAGCTGGTCTCAGGAGAGGAAAAGAGCGGTCCCATGGTCAGTGGAGTCGGTTCCAGGCCGCCCCCCCCCCCCCCGGAACGTGGAGCACCTGTAGGAGGAGAGTCAGGTGGGGAAGAAGAAGCTGTCCCATCCCATGGACTCCTGTTTCCTGGAGCATGTGAGCCAGTAACGATGGTCTCATGAAGTCATGGACATCGGGACATTTTTCCTGGAAACTGTCAAATCTGTGTTGGTCTCCACTGAAGCTGGGTTACTGCAGGAAGATGCTGTGTCCCGGGTTCCCCCTGTCCTGTTGTCTTCCGTTGCTGAGGTATCAGTGAGCGCAGTGTACTCATCAGTGATTTGGCCACTGGTGGTCTCTGCAACATGTGTGTCTGCAGGTGCTTCTCTGGCAAAAGTCCCTTCTGTGGAGCTAGTCCTTAGAGAATGAAGCCTGGAACTACTTTTAGTAGAGGAGTTCCTGGAAGGAGTCCACTAGCCGGGGGACTCAACGGTGGGCTGGTTCTTTGTTCTGAATGTGCAGTTTCTCCAGAGGTTGAATCAGAGAGGGCAGAGGTCACCATTTCCAAGGATTGGTGGTTCTTCCCTGAACCAAAGATACAGGACTGACTGTGGCCTTAGCTGGAGAAGCAAAGGGCAGGACACTTCCGTTCACTGCGGTTACACCTACAGACGTACCCTGTGGCCAACTGGTTCCTGTGGGTCCATAATCTCTCTCCCCAGTGGGGCCAGCGCTACTGCCCCCTGCTGACAAGTATGAGGTAGAGGCCTGTGGGTTCAAGCATGAATGGATCCACATTTGCCCCTTGGGGTGTAGGTGTAAGAATATCTCCTGAGTGGAGGTGGCTGCTGGGCTTCCTGTAGTTGTATTGTGGAGACTAGCTGGCATCTCTGTGTTTCAGCATGCTGTTGGGAGGGAGGGTTGGGGGAAACTGGGCAACTCTTCTGACCAAATTTGGGCAAGAAAAAGGGAAAGATGTTGCAACCACAGAAAGTTTCCTTAATTGAAAATTTGACCATCCAGTTCTCTCCTGCAAATTTTAAATGGAACCTCACTGCCTACAGGATGAAATTCTTTAGTCTATTATTGTCTTAATGATCTCTCTCTCCCCCCTCCTCCTCTCCCTCCTCCCCAGCCCCAGAATATTTCTCTTTACCTTTTTTGTTTTTCACAACTAGTGGTGTTCTACTGCCATCTAGTGGTCAGAGGTCAGGACGCTGCTAACAACCCCATGGCGAAGACTTACCCAGCCCCAAATGTCAATAGTGCTCAAGTTAAGAAAACCCGCTCCAGTCTTACCTCCCACAACATCCTTCTGTAGAAGGTAGTTAGACAGACATGAGCAGAGCAAGGTCTATGGGCCAGGTACAGAAGGCCACCTGGTGCCTAGCAACCTACAAAGCTGGGAAAACAAGGACCTTGCCCCCAGGGTAACCTTTCCAACCCTCGCATATTGCTGTTCGCTGTTTGTGCAGTTTAGATCCCCTGACCTTTCATATCACTGGTCATGCAGTTCAGACCTTTCCCTGACCTTTCCTCCCCTGGCATGTTGCTAGTCATGTGGGTTAGACACCCTCCGAGGAGGAATAAACAGGGGGCCAGAGAAAAGCCCTTAAGCATTAAGCCCCCAGGACAATGAAGTTCTGACCTGCATCAAATACATCTAGGCCTCAGTTATATTTCAGCTCCAGGCCCAGAAAAGCAGTAAAACCAGATAAGTGACGCCATGACTGACCTCAGGACCCGCTGCATCGACTAATGACCCCTTGCCTTGGTGCTGACCAAACAGTGGAGACCACGACCCTGAAAGGACACACCCTCTTGAGACCCTCCCTGAAACCTCTCCTGAAATCCCCACCCTCGGAGCCCTTAGGACTGGGGACCCTGTGCGCTCTCCCTCTCCAGAACACGCCCTGCCCTTCTCCTCGCCCTCTCCTCCCACTTCACTCTTCTCTGTCCTGAGTACCAAGGGCCCTTCTTTTGCTGTAACTTGTTTCCTGAGCCTCTTTGACTTTCCAAATAAACTTTCTTTTCCAGCTTGAATCTTGGCTCCGAATTCTTTCTTAGCCAGACTCAAGCACCAAGGTTGCTGAACCAAGGCCCAGTCTGACGCCACCGGTATGACATCTGGTGCCACTTGGCTGCCAACACTTCCACCTGACGTCTGTGAACCACAGCTACAGTCGTGCAGTTCCCCAGCCAGACAAATCTTAAATCCGCACTCACGTTTCCATTCTGGCTGGGATGATCACTATGCGCTTTTCACAAAGTAACACCTACTCATCATTTAACATTCAGCTTTAATTTCTGTATTCCTTCCTTTGTCTTTACTGAATTTTCTAATATTCTACAATGAGCACACGTTATTTCCAATGTCTTTTTTTTTTTTTTTAACTTTGAAAGATGAAATTAATACCAGATCATTTGAGAACATTGGAATTTTCAGGAAAGTCTGAGAAGGAGAATAAATGCCACGGCTCATTTTATTTTTCCTTCTGTAAAGTTAATTTTAAAAATACACAGCTCACCCTGGCCGGTTTGGCTCAGTGGTTAGAGTACCAGTCTGCAGACCAAAGAGTTTCGGGTTCAATTCCTGATCAAAGGCATGTACTTCAATTGTAGGTTGGATCTCTGGCCCTGGTCGGGGTCATGCAGGAGGCAATCAATCGATGGGTCTCCCTCACATCGATGTTTCTCTCTCTCTCTCTCCTTTGCTCCCTCCCACTCTATCTGAAAATCAGTGGAAAAAATCCTCGGGTGAGGATTAAAACATAATAATAATAAAATGAAATACACAGCTCAAGCGTCTCTTCCTCTGGGAAGTCTTCTTTGAAGCTGTGACCCTCAGTTATAAAAAGTATACATTTGATCTCGATCCCATTTCTGGCACAGAGCTCCTGAAACTCTTGGAATTTCCTAAGTGAAGAGGGGACCAAGGTGTTTTCTGTTACTTTAATGTGACTTTTGGAAAGCCTCTAGGACATCAAAGGGTGGGGCTGGTGCCAGGACATCAAAGGGTGGGGCTGGTTGCCATTAGAGTTGGAACTTTGTGGGGAGAGGCTGGAGATTGAATCAGTTGCCAATGGCCAGTCATTTAATCAATCATGCATATGTAATAAGGCCTCTATGAAAAAGCAAAAGTGTTCAGAGTTTACAGGTTGGTGACCATGCAGAGGTGCTGGAAGGGTGGTGTGCGGAGGGCCAGGAAGCTCCTCGCCCCTTTCCCATGCCTGGGCCTCTGCATCTTCCGTCTGGCTGTTCCTGAGTCACATCCTTTGGAGACAGGCCAGCGAGCTAGGACGAGTGGAAGAGGGAAACTGAGGCAGACAGCGGAACAAACTGACAGAGCAATTTACAGCCGATACAGAAGGTCACCTCCCTAGAGAGGACATCTGGGCCTCAGTTGTATGTCAGCTCTAGACCCAGAAAAGCAGCAAAACCAGGTGGGGGACACCAGGACCAGCTGCAATGACTAATGACCCCCTGCCCTGACACTGACCGATCAGTGAAGACTACCCATGGCCCTGAAGGAGCACACCTGGAAAACTGATGAATGTTCCTCTGAACCCCGGCCCCCACCCAAGACCTCCCCTGAGGTTCCTGTCTGCAGAAGAGATAAAAGCCTCACTGACAAAGGACCCAGCACTCTGCTTTCCCTCCCTCCCAGGAGCACACCTTCTCCTCCTCCCATTCTCCCCCCACGGGTGTGCTCACCTCCTAAACTCTAAGGGACCCCATGAGGCTTGCAACCAGGGCAGCAATGGGCAGCGGCGGTTCATCCTGGGCAAAGCCACGGAACCTGACCACGCCCCCGGTTCTCTGACTTCTTAGTGAGCCAAAGCAGCCCAGCCTGGGCTCATTTTCCCAGCCCTTCTTTGTTTCACTGTCCCAGTTTTAATAAACATCCTCTAAAATTCACCTGGAATTGTGCTGTGAAATTTTTTTCCACATGAAGTCAAGAACCCACACACTACCAGCTGGCCTAGGCAGACCCCCAAGGGCCAGGTCCCCTTTCGGGTAACACTTTTACTATAAATCCATGAACTAGTTAGTAAACAGTTTCTCTGAGCTCTGTGAGCTGCTCTAGCAAATTAATTAACCCTAGGAGGAGACCGTGAGAATCTCATATTCATAGCCAGTTGGCCAGAAGTCCAGGAAACAAGCAGGACGTGTCGTTGGCATCCTGAGCTGGAGGGCACCCTAGAACCTTCAGTCTGTAGCCCGTGGGGCAGAAGCGCAAGCAGCAGCCTGGGCTTCTGGCCTGAGCTGTGTGCTGAGGGAGAGAAGCAATCTTGTAGAGATGAGCCCTCAACCTGTGGAATCTTGATGCTGTCTCTGAAAAAATACTGTCAGAATTAGCTGAGTTTTCCGACACCTCTTTTTGTGTCCAAGAATTGCTGGATGTTGTGTGGGGAGCCCCCCGACATGTAAACATTGGAAACAGGATCCAGCAACCGAAAATAGAAGCCCTTTCTGATCCTGTTGTCTTCTCTCTAAGCACCAGTGTGTATCACTTTAGCCATACTTCTCATACTGTATCCCAATAGACCAGAAGTTTCTAAAGGACAAAAGAAAGAAAAAAGTCTCTGGAATCCACTTCTCTCCTACATATCACAGTGTCTTGTATCCATCTGTTGCATGAATGAATTCAACTCGTTAAGAGCACAGCTTCAACATGAGTTTTCTATTAATGGGGTGAAAGTAAAATTCATTGATTCATTCATATGCTAAGTTTCTACTGATCACAGAAATATGCTGAGGTAAGAATAACATCAGCTTCTGTAGACAACTGTAGATAATCTGTCCTGCAGAAAGTTCCACCTCCTGAGGGTAGGGAATGATGACGATGATGATGGAGTAAAGAAATTGTGCAGGGTCTCTGTGCCAGACCCTCTCTTTACTTGCCTTGCCTCACTGAGTCTCCATGACAACCCCACATTCTTATTATTCAATGAATTAATATGTACAAATAGTGTTTGACACATAGAAATGAACCCCAACCCAAGTTCTCCACTCTCATGTCATTACACCTTCTCAGACACTGAAAGCACAATAATAAGAATGAGACCACTTTTTCTACGTAGCCATGGTGCAGAAGGCTCTCTCCTGTACCTGATGGTCACCAGCGACCCTGACCCACCCACCCGCCCCTTCAGCTGTGCTGTCTGAACTTCATATGATGTAAGAGGCAATGAAAGGCACAGAATCAACCATCTCAGATGCAGAGGGCACCATCTTACATATATCAGTTCACTCTCTGAACTGAGAATTCTTTCTGAGAAAGTTCTGTTAAAAAAACAAACAAACAAACAACAAAAAAAAACGTTAAAGCTGAGATCACACGCTGGCCTTTTGCCCTCCAACTGGTAAGGAGTGAAATCTCAAATCAGAGAAAAGAGCAGAGTGGCGAGAGCTTGCTAAATCTGGAAGGCAGGACTGGTAAGACTGATTAGACACCTTAGAAGTAACTGAAGAGATGGACGCAGTCTGGGGGGATGGAGCACAGAGGAGGTCTCACTGGCATGTTTCAGACACCAGAAACCAATGTGAATGCTCCCAGAGGCCCTGACAGATGGACAGCCAGAAGGAGAACAGTGTCCCCGAAGAGGCTCAGCCCTCAGTGCCAAGAACTCCAGCGCCGAGGACGCAGGGATTGAGGATTCTACCTGCAAACAGGGTGTCCTGGCAGAAGCAAGGACGGGATGTTGAAAGCATCCCGGCCTCTACCACAGGAGGTCAGTAGCCCCTGTCCTCCCAGAAGTGACAACCAAAAATATCAGACATTGCCAAATGTCCCGGAGGACCAAAATCACACCCAGTTGAGAACCGCTATTTAGGAGGCACCGTCTACCTTAATTTAGATTTTACAAATACCCGATCACACACTTGTTCCCACATGACAGATACAAGCCTGGAGGCTCAGAGAGGTTACCTCACTTGTCCAGCATGTGGCATAGGTGAGATCTGAACCCGGGCTGTCTGGCACCTGTGTGTGTGCTGCTCACAGCTGTGCTGCGGGGCTTATGAAGTCTCTGTTGTCCAAGTATAGGGAACAAACAGGACTCCTGGGATAGGGAAGGCCCATCACCCAGGAGCAAGGAGTGGAAGGCAATGAAGAACCCAGACAGGACTCAGGCCTCAAATACCCTCTTTTTGCCTGTGCTAGTTCCTACCTGGGGGCCTGGGCAGTTGTGTTCCAGCAACAGGAAACTTGCCTGTGTATGTGACTAGGTTGGCAGCTGGGTCTGGGGTTGACACAATTTGCCTCCAGGATACTGTAGATGTGGAGAAAGAAGGTGGAGGGATAAGGGCCAGCTGTCTCTCTCCTGTCTGCTCTTGAGGAAGTCAATATCCATAAGGCAGAGAGACAAAGACCTCAGGTCCAATCCGCTTCCTGGAGACCCATTCTCTCTCCTTCCTAAAATCAAGCCAATTGCAACTACTGCAGAACAAGAAACAAAATGCGCAGTGGGAGGAATCTGGAAAACGTGGAATCCCAACACTGTCACTTACTTACTGTGTGACCCGAAGCAGATAACTTAACCTCTCTGAGCCTTGTCTCCTCATGTGTCCAAGAAGGATAATATAGGGCTATCGTGAAGGTGCAATGAAATGATGCCTATGAAGCAGTTCGCACCATGCAGGACAGGAGGACAGGACTTATTAAATGCTGGTGGTTTGTGGCATCACCTACCCACAGAGATGGTGTGTGATCCTGGAAATGAAGACCTGTGCGTTGACTGTCTGGTGGCTCCAGATGTCACTCGGCTTGAGGTTTGGGCGAAGACCACTGCGTTCCATGGCACCCCTGTGGAGGAAGGACCAGGTTGGTTATCTCAGCTGGAAGCAGCAGGAAGGAAAATCTTTTCTTCTGGATTTCCTCTTCTTTCCATAAGAATCTCTACTTAAAGACTCATTTATTGACTGTTTGAATCACTCATTCGTCTAGACCCTCCAACCCACGTTCATCCGACCAGCAGCTCTCAGGAGCCAGAGTGGTGAACAAGACAGGTCCTTGCTCCTGAGACTAATTTATTATGAATGGCCTTACCAGAAAATCTTCTCTCCCCAGCTTCAGGGAAAGCAACTATCTGGTGTCATGGCTGCTCTGGATGTCTGGCCCCCAAGGTCAGACTTCCTCACCTCCACCTGCCTGGCTGTTTGCCCAACGGCCTTCTACGTGACTGTGCATCGGCCTTGTACCCCAGGCCCAGGAGCACGCTTCCCGGCCCAGAGCGCCACACTCCCCGGGGCCCAGTCCTGCCTTCCTGGAGCTGGAGGTCCCGGGGCAGTTGGCATTCAGATTTTGGTTTTGGTTCTTAAGAGCTGGCAGCAGTATAGCACAGCAGTTAAGATCAGTGACTTAAGATTCAAACGTGTTCAAGGTTCAAGTCCCACTTCCCCACACCGGCTCTTTTGTCACCTCAGGAAGTTGCTTGATCTTTGGTTTCGGGTTTCTCATGTGGCAGTAATAAAAGTAACTAAATATATATATATATATTTTAATCCTCATCCGAGGATATTTTTCCATTTTTTGTCCAGGTAGAGTGGGGGGGAGAGAGAGGAACAGAGAGAGAGAGAAACATCGACGTGAAAGGGACACATCGAGTGGCTGCCACCCGCACGACCAACCAGGGCCGGGGACAAACTGCAACCGAAGTATGTGCCCTTAGCGGGAACCGAACCCGGGTCTCTCCGGACCGCAGGCCGACGCTCTAACTGCTGAGCCAAACTGGCCAGGGCAATATTTTTAACATATAAATATACAGTGTATCATATAACAAAAGTGGAGATAAACATATCTAAATATTTAATAAATATAAATATATTATATGTAATATAAAAAAAATGAAGCTAGAAAATGTATCTAACACCTGGCCAGGTGGCTTAGTTGATTGGAGTGCCATCTCATACACCAGAAAGGTTGTGGGTTTGATTCCTGGTCAGGGCACATACCCAGGTTGTGGGTTCAATCCCTGATTGGGAGGCAATGGATTGACGTTTCTCTCTCACATCAATCTCTCGCTCTCTCTCTGTCTCCCTTCCTTTCTCTCTAAAAGCAAGAAACGTATCCTCAGGTGAGGATTAAAAAAACTATCTAACAACAGAAACAGATTTATAAGGGTTGCCAGATGTGAGGGAGCTTGGGGGGTTGGGTGAAAAAGGTTCAGGGAGTAAGAAGTACAGACGGTCACAGGGATGGAAAGTCCAGCGTAGGAACTGTAGTCAATTACACTGTAATAAGTACATAGGCTGCCAGGCGGGTACTAGACTTATTGGGGGAACCGCTTCATAAATGACCACTACGCTGTATGCCTGAAACTACTGAACTAATATTGAATGTCAAGTATAATTGAAAAATAATAAAAATAACAGCTTTTATAAATAAGCACTGCACTTCAAACTCTTCACCCTTAACGAATGATAGGTGATCATCACTACTTTTATTATGAATACAGATTTTCTGTCTCTACTGTTTGGGGTGAGGGGTGGAGAGAGGTAGTTGTCCTGCTTTGAGAGCCACCCAGCTCCCTCCCCAGTCCACTGGCCCCATCGGTTGGGCATGTAGCAGTCTGGAGGGTAGGTAGGGACAGGGTGAGCCATGCTTCTCAGAGACATAGCTGTGGAGAGGGTAGAGACTCAAAAAATTAGCTGGACATTGTCCAGGAGGATGTGCCCTAGACAGAGAAGCTGAACCCCCGATGGGATCAGGGACAGAGCTCTGGATAAAGAGGAAGAACCTGTGGTTAGCTCTTCATGGCAGCCCCCTGGCTGCTCCAGAGGGCCCTGTGGGGATGGAGAGGTTTGCAGAAGGAAAGGTGGCAAAGCTGGATCCTTCCATAGGAGCTCAGAGAGCTGAGGGTTGGATTTGTCCTGGGGCTCTGGGAGGAGGCTCCAGCAGTTAGGGAAGATGACCACCTGTCCTCATGCCAGTACTGTCAGCTTGAGAGGTTTGGGGTTTTGCTCTGGACAGTGAAGATGAGCTAGCATCCCCCGAGGCTGTCAGGGCATCTGTCATGACTTTGGGGAAGAAGGAGGTAGACCAGTAGTTCTCACCAAGTGCACTTTCTGCCTCCTTCATTCATGCAACAAGTGTTTACAGCATACGTACTATGTTCCAGGCACAAGAACAGGCTTCAGAATAACTACAGGATAGGGACCAGGACAGAGGGTGACCAACTTGTCTTGGTATGGACTTTCTCAGTTTTCACACTTAAAGTTTCACACTAGGAACCCCCTCAGTCTCAGTTGGTTGGTGACCATCCTGTGATGTGTCCTCCTGACCTGACATCTGCTCCCTCAGCTTAGGGTCTGTGATGAACTAAGGCCCCTGTGAGCAGCTGTGAGCTTGGAGCAAGGAGATGTGGAAGCAGACTGGTACCGGTGCTCAGAAGCCAGACTTGGTCAGCGGCAGTGGGATGCAGATTTGTTTGGAGCCAGACGATGGGGTTTGAAGCCCAAGTCTACCCTGGCTGTGTGGGGAACCTTCCGCTTTGAGCTTCTGTCCCCTCACCTGGGAAATGGGGAGCCTACCATGAGCAGCAGTGGCACCCTATATGAGCCGCTGTGTCTGGCTGTGGGTCTCCCAGAAGGCACCCTCCGGGGGCAGCCTTGGGAGCATCGGGTGATCTGAAGGACAAACTGAGTATGAAGAAGCCGCCCTGCCCACCTGGACCCATCACCTTCCTTCTGAGGGGGCCACCGAGTCACCTGCAGAGAAGGTGACCTGTTTCTTGAGGCTCAGGGGAAATAGGAACAAACCTGTCCTCGTTTCCAGGAGTCACAAGTGGTGGAAGATGAACTGGAGTTCTGGCCAGAGCAGGTTAGACTCGGAGGCCTGCCTCTCAGCTCCAAACACTCTCTACGTGATGTCTTCTCCCTGGATAATCTCCCTCTCTGGGCCTCAGATATCTCTGGCCAGGCCCAGGCTGGGGTGATGGCCACTGTTCAGGGACCCAGCAAGGCACCCAGGAAAGGAATGAGATCTTTATATGCGCTGTGTTGCCATTGCCCTGGGGGACCCTGCTGGGTAGGGTGATAGTCCCCATGTGCCAGGAAACTGCCAGGAGAGGAGAAATCTTCATCAACACAGCTGCCTGGACAGTTTCTTCCCAGGAGAAGGTAAAGGTTGGGGCTTAGAAATCATCCAGAAACTGGGATTTGGATGCTTGCTCGTGACTTAACAAAAGGCTTAACCTCTCTGAGCCTGTTTCCTCTTCCATGAAAAACAAGTCAATGGAGACTTCTCTCAACCACTCAGGCTCAATCGACATAACGCAGGTAAAGCTCTGGAACATAGTAGGTGCACAATACAAAATGATGGTTACTGAGGTCTGTTAGGATCTCAGAGTGTCTCACCCAGGGGCAAAGTGGAAAAGAGGACCGGATGCAGATGCAGAGGACAGACAAGGTCCAGGGTGAAGTGAGAAGTGAGTGAAAAATGGATTTCCTCCAGCTCTGTAATTGTTACAAATTACTCTTTGGGGTGATGGAAACTCAGAGAGGTTAGGTGTCTGGCCCAAGGATGCACAGCCTCTCAGGATTGGATCTACATTTCTTTTTATCTCTGCCCAGGTATCAAGGGAGTCTTTGCCAGCATTTAAGTCAAAAGTCCTGAAATATGTCTGGATTGATCACAGGGGAATTCCTGCCCTGAGAGGTTGTCTTGTGTGCTGCAGACATAATAGGGTGGTGGGGAAGAGTATCGACCCATGCTCCAGGCAACTGGCCCTCCATAGGGCAGAAGCAGGAATCTGCCCAGTTCAAACAGCCCCCAACATTAGACCCTGAGTGAGCCTTGGGGATGAAAGCAGTTAAAACAACCTCTGTCTGTAGCAACGTGCTTTGGGGACAGCTCAGGGGACACACCCCATCGGAAGTGGTGGGATTGTTCTGCACAAACCCGCCTACCATTCATGTCATTGTGTGGACACCTCACAATGGTGTCCAACCACAAAGCTCTTCCCCAGGCCAAAGCCCAGCCTCAGTGCCTCAGGGTTGGGGGCTGGGGAGCCTCTCCACCTGCTCTGGGAGCTGCAGCCTGGCCTGGGTTGGGAAAGACAAGGTGGAAGCTTGCGTACCCAGGTGGCCCCAGGCTGCCAGTGCCCAGGGCCTCACACCCCAGGGCCTCACACCCTCTCGGGATGCAGAAGCCTCTGTGCCCTCCTCTTCAGGGCCTGGTGGCCTCATTTCCCAGCGGAGTGTTGAAGACAGTTCTGTTCCCGAGTGGAGCAGTGGAACAGATACTCAGGCACCAGCACGTGGTAGATGCCCTTTCTGTAGTCTCAGATTGTCCTGGACAGCAGATGAGTTTGGCTGCAAAGTCCTGACTCCCTGCCCAAGGAGGCAGCAGGAATAAAACAGCGGGGTCTGGGCATCCCAGGACCCCATGAAGGAGCTGGGACCTCCTCTCTGTAGGGGAGAGAGCCTGGTCCTTCCCAACCCCAAGCTGGACCCCCACCTTTCCCTGAGGCTGGTGGGCTTTCTCTGGGCAGCGAGGCCCAAGCTGACCCCCAAATGACCAACAGGCCTGCAAAGTCCGCCTTGGGATCTAAGAGCAAATTCTCGTTTCCCTCCCAGGCTGCCTTCCTGCTGGTACCCCTGCCCTCAGCACCCCCAGGCAGCCCACACGCACTCACACCACACTGTCCTGCTGAAACACGCCTGGCAGCTTCCTGCTCCTGGCCTTTCCCACCCAGCTCTCCCCACCAGGACTGCCCTCCCCTTTGCACTACGTGTGCCTACGGAAATCCTGCCAACCCAACCACCCTGCTGCTATGTAGGCAAACTGCCCCCTCCCA